TTATTCTATTTTTATTTTTATTTAAATTATCAATTTTTTGCAGTTGTGATTAAAAGTATACTCCTCCGGTCCTATAATATAAGATTTTATATTACTAGTGTATAAGGGTTTTATATTTAGGACTGAAAGAGTATAAGGGTTTTATATTTAGAACTGGAGAAGTATTTATTTTATTTCATGTTTGATTAAAAATAGCAAAGACTAGAAATTAAAAATAATAAAATTTAAGTCATTCAAATTTTCAAACTTGTGGGTGTTTGGGTAACCCTAAAAACACTTCTCAGAAGTACTTTCTTGCAAATTGAGATAAACCTCTCTATATATTTACTTCGTATACTGTAAAAATACTTTTAAAACTATGATTTTGTTTATACCCAAGCACCTCCAAAATGTAAACAATTTAATATAAATGTGCAGGCCACTTGCCCATAAAAAGAATCCCAATATCTAATTGTTTTATCAAAAGGTGATCCTTTATCTGTTCTGTACTTGTGGGTTCTTTCTGATTTTGTGTTGAAGTTCACCGAAAGCAGAACAGAGAAAAAGTGTTAATATTCTCCTTGCATGCCAGAAATACCTGTTTGCAAAATCTGAAATCCAGTAGGTATCAAATATTAAATATGAAAATGTTAAAACTATAGGCCAAAGCAGTTATACTATGTTTGACTTGTCGTAACGAGAAAACAAGTATCAACAATGACAGTTTTTATAAGTAGGAGGGACTTAATATCATATATAAGTAAAGATGCTTGTTTGAGTCTTAAGGATTGGGGGGGGGGGAATCATGCTGGAAATGTTATTTCTCTCTCATTAGCATCTCAACTTTTGAATTAGAATTAGTGGATGATGCTAAATACTATCTCCCATTCTAAATATAAGAGCTATTTAATTAATTTAAATAAATTAAAAAAATTACTTAAGTTGGTTATTTATAACAAATATGAGTTGATCTTCCTAAAATATCTTTTTTAATCATAACTATTCTTGGATAAAAACTCCCTTAACATGTGTAATCAATATGGATATTTAGCAAATGAATTATAGATTTATTAGACAAAATATATTGATGTCTTATATTTAAAACAAAATATAATTTCTCAACTAGTTCTTATATTAAAAAACGGAAGTAACATAAAGTAATTTTGTATACATATCGAGAGAAAAGAATCGATGAGATTGATGACAAAAACAGGAATAAAAAAGAAATCCAATGGAAGTTGATGGCCCTAGGTTATGGAGAGTGTGTGTGTGTAAAGCCTTGAATTTATTTTTTGTTTTGGTAAAATAAAGCCTTGAATTTTGGAGGGGCAAATACAAGGCAATGTAAGTGACAAGTGAAGGGTGGAAGACTTTGAAGGAGCATTGGTTATGGAATATGGAATCCGCTTAGGATTCATATGTTATGTCTCCACTTGTCCCCCGCTTTCTTTTCCTTCCTTTTCTTTTTTGTTTCTCATTCTCACTGCATTCCTTCACTTTCATGCCGCCACCCCAATCACCTCTTGCCACGTGCCTCTTCCTCAGTGGACCCCTAGCTCCCTGCTCTGGCTCCTGCTGATGACTTCTGGGATATAAACTAAATCCCATTGTTGCCCCTTCAAACACATAATTTGCTTTGCCAAGACAAGCAAGACCCGTAAATGGCTTGTGATAATTTGAGAATTAATATTGATTTTATATGTAAATTTTTTTTCCTCAAGTTAAACTTAATGATATTCTTTCAATAATAATCAAATATGAGAAAAAAGAAAAAAAATGAAGGAAGATGATTAGGATGTTTTGAAAAAACATATCATATTAACTAATTTCATTAATATCCCTAATCTACTTAAATTAATTAAGTCATACATTAAGAATACAAGAAATAGTAAATAATATGCTAGGTTTAATTTTACTTGTAATTTTAGGTTGTTAGCATCTGTAAGCAAAACCCATTATGCATAGTGCTTTTCTTATCAAAATAAAAATGGGATGATTTGTTAATTCACATAACAAATATGCACATGCAATTTCATACGAAAAAGCAACATTATATAACTATAGATAATTTGCTTTATATTATATTTGAAAGATGTGAATTGATTGTGGATCACGGGTAGCTAAATGAGCTCAATAGACAAAAACAATTTGGCTAGCAGCAGCCTTAGTTTGAAACTTGTACATGCATCCGTATATATAGGGTATAATATATCACACACAAACAATATAATATACGAGTATATTAATATTATAAGGAAGCAAGCTCTAGCTTTCTTTCTGTGCATTTATTTGACACACAAAATGTTTATATTCCTCTGTTTTTGTCTGTTTAAGCATGGGGAATGGTGCTTGAGATGTTTTTTTTGTTTTCATACGTATATGAAATTGAGCGTCGACCGTTCATGAAACGCCAAAGATACAGCTATCTGTTAGATAACTTTTATTTGAAAAGAAAGAAAGAAAGAACTAGGCAGGTTGCCTATAAATTACAAAATGTGAGCATCATCTTGTTAATTTAAGGAGGGACACTCTTTTTAATTGGTCTCCTTGTCTTTGTTACTACAACACACCAAACTACATATTACATTATTACCACTTGAAACATTATAAAATGCACACTATATTTGAAAAAAAAAAAGTCATTTCATAAACCCATTATTACTTCTTCCACTCAACATGCACCTTCTTCCACATTCTCCCCTAAACCAGCCCTCTCATTTTAATCTAATATTGATAGGTGCATCCTTTAATTTGAATAAGAGGTATATAAGGATTACAATGCCTTAGTTTTAAGGTTTTTTTATTCTTTTTTTTTAATTGCTTTCTGGTACTCCCACAGAAGATGCTGTGAAATTTCCCTCTGTAATGAGTGTTTCTCCGAAAAGCATTAAGATTCCACTCACATATATTTAATTAAGCATATGCAAGTGAATGGGAAATCAATAAGGTGAGTGTAATTATTAGGGATGCTTTGAAAATAAGTCGGCATGTGCATATAGATAATAGAGGAGAGAATGTCATACTAATTTAATTAAATCTCACATGGAATAATTAACAAATACTATTTCTGGTCTTTAATATAAAACCTTATTTGACTTCTATTTTAGTCATAAATATAAGAGTCTAATCTACTTTGTCTCTCATATTTATATATTTTTTCCAAGATAATCTTTCTAACAATGATAGTTTTAGCCAATACACTTGATTAGTAAAGATATTTTAAAAAAACAACACCTATTTATTGCAAATAACTAACTTAACTTATTTCTTTAATCTTCTCAAATAAGTTAACTAGTTTTTATAATTAGAACCGGCGGAGGTAGTATGTCTTTTTCCTCACATCACTAAAAACACCCACTGTTTCATACGTCCTTTGTGGGAAAAAAATTATGCACAACAATGGATGAAAATGTAAAAGAATACACAAAGGGAATTTCCATTATTCAATACCTCTTTTCTTTTCATTCGTTTTCAGGCTTATTCAATCTTTTGTGACTTGATTTGGTTTTTCTTACATTACCTGGTGCTCGCAATAAGGTTCTAAATGTTTAGGTCTGGAATTCACTGTACATTTGGGGGATATTTAAAAATTCATTTAAAATATAAGAATCGTATATAACAATTTTAAGTCATGCCTTGATAACTTGATCAAGTATAATTATAATGGCTAGTCTTGTTAGTAATAAGCTCAAAGATAATCAGAAAACATTCTGGGAAATCCCACACACAAAGAGAGGAATATAATAGCTTACTGGTCTTTAACATATTTATTATCTGAAGTTGTTATAAGTATCTTAAAAATGGTCGAATAGTGCTTGGTCAAAATATTGACTGAATTTTGTTATTTTATGGATCTTTGAAAAAACCGGCTCAGTGGCGATTAATTTTTTAGTGAGTCTTTTTCCTGTATTATTTTCTAAGACCAAATCAAATATTGCCATGAAAGGTACCACTCGTAGCATATTTCCATGAAAATATGTATATTTAAATGAATGTGTCGTTCAACATTTATCAAATTACTTTCTGAAATAAGTTAACGGATGAAGCACGTGTTGAACGTTGTGAGATTGCAAGATTATTAATTAATTTCTCAAATATATTGCGATTACACAAATAAAACATAATTCGAGAAAAAATCAGTGAATTAATATTGTTAATGGATTTGTAATTTAAAAATACTTCCTTTATTATTTTTATGACATGATGAAATATAATTTATTCTTATCTTGATTGCCATATTATTTGAAATGAATTATTCTTTTTTACCCCAAAAAAAAAGAAATGAATTCTTCTTTAGCTTTACCCTTAGCATACGTTACAACATAAATTATTGCACATTATTAGTCAGCTTCTTTGGATAAAATTTCCTGCATGTTAGAAAGGTGAAAACTTACTTTTCTGTCTTTACGGGACGTAGCAACATAAACAAGGGTAATAATTATTCTTTGATGGAGGGGCAATTTACGAAACATGTCAATCATTCAAAAATGAAAATATATGTGGGAAAATATTTTTTAAGAAAACTTTTGGAAGAAATAATATGTACACAAACACGGATATATTATCTCTATTTAATTATAAGACCTTATTTATAATCTACAGAAAATGTATTGTAATTAGGATAGGAGGTAGCATGATATTTGCCGAAATTATTTTTATTTTTATAGATGGAATCTTTGATAATACGAATCAAGAGGGTGGACCACAATGGGTAAGCTAGCTGATAGCAATTCGATCTTACAAAATGCAGCCAAACCTATACAAAAGGGCCCTTTCACAGAAGTGTATGGAAAAATGTTCGAAAACATTTTCTCTGGTGGAGTGTCATACACGTGGGAATAATTATTATGATTTTCTCCTGTGGGGGGCTCTTACTTTCGCTCTCACTCTTTCTTTCTTTTCTTTCTTTCTGTTTATAATTATTATTATTTATTATTATTTTCTCTGTTAGAATCTGAGAGGATAGCGCTGGGCTTTGCTATAAATTCAGGAACAAATCCCATCTTTCCCTCACAATACAGCATTAGAGTAAGACAAGAAGCCTTCTTCATAACCATAGTCTTACTTGTTTGATCATCTCAGTCTCCTTCTTCTCATTAAGAGAGAGAGAGAGAGAATCATAGTGAGAGAAAGAGAATGGAGGGAAGAAAAGAGTATCCAAAGAAAGAAGATATTACTGTTGATTGGAGAGGCAGACCCTCCAACCCTCAAAAGCATGGTGGAATGAGAGCTGCAGCTTTTGTCCTTGGTATCCATCTCTCTCCCTCTCTTCCCGTCTCTCTGGTATTTACAGATTCATTAGAATGTTTAAAGTTATGAGCATCATGAGTATGAATGCATATATATATATATAGAGAGAGAGAGAGAGAGAGAGAACCTTAATATCACACTCATCTGAATCAGCTTACCCATCAGTTTGGTATGCTGTTCTGAGCTATCAGATTGATATATGTTACAATTTTCTCTCTTTCTTATGGCTCTGCTTGTTCATTGGCTCTCTCTCCGTACAGCTTCTTTGTATGACCAAAGGATATATTTTAGTCAAAACTCTTGTGTTTGATTATTGGCGAGAAGTAGCCAACTTTTGTTTCTTGATTAATTCCCCTGATTTGTTAAGAATTACCCAACTTTTATCATCATTCGAATTTTGTCAGCTAGGCTGCAAGCCAGCTGTGTGCTTCTGGATTTTAGTAGTCAGAATTAAGATCAATAATACTTACGCCAATTGCCAAATCATACTTCTGCAATTAGCTAGTGGTCTCTCTCTCTCTCTCTCATGCTATAAGCAATAGATTGTTGGGTATTTATTTAATCATATATATAAAGTGTTGACTATGTATTATATATATATTGGGAATAATATATGTATGACTATATGGATATGACAGGGCTTCAGGCATTTGAGATAATGGGAATAGCAGCGGTGGGGAACAATCTGATAACATACTTGATAAATGAGATGCACTTCTCATTGGCAAAATCGGCAAATATAGTGACGAATTTTGTTGGCACTATCTTTCTCTTGGCCCTCCTCGGTGGCTACCTTTCTGATTCCTATCTTGGGAGTTTCTGGACCATCCTCATCTTTGGCTTTCTCGAACTTTCTGTATGCCCCTCTCTTTCTCTCTCTTCCCATGATTTTTCTATATTCATTCATATGTATATATATATATATATATATATATATCTCCCACCTCTTCTCTTCTTTCTTTTCCATCCACTTTATATCTCTCTAGCAACCCACCAATCAAAATTGGCTGGTATATAGCATTTGGTGTCTAATTTCACAGATTAATTATCCAACTTGACGATACATATATAATGAATCTATCTGCAAAATCTTTTCCAACTTCTTACAGTACTCATATATACCAAGAGAGTTTTCTAAACTTCTTTTTAGTGGTCCGCCATTAATTAAAAGCATAGGCTTTTTCATAACTTTTCTCTCTTTTTGGGACCAGTAGTACTTAATGGTTTGGTTTTGTAATTAATTACTTGATGACTATACAGGGTTTCATACTACTGTCAGTGCAAGCTCATCTTCCACAACTAAAGCCACCTCCATGCAATATGCTACTAGAAGGACCACAGTGCATAGAAGCCAAGGGCTTCAAAGCATTTATATTCTTCTTAGCAATATACTTAGTGGCATTAGGGAGTGGTTGTGTGAAGCCCAACATGATAGCTCATGGAGGTGATCAGTTCAATCAGGAGAACCCTCAGCAGCTAAAGAAGCTCTCTACTTACTTCAACTCTGCATATTTTGCTTTCTCCATGGGTGAGCTTGTTGCCCTAACCGTCCTTGTTTGGGTCCAAACCCACTCGGGTATGGATGTCGGGTTCGGAGTCTCCGCTGCCGCCATGGCATTGGGTTTGATTAGCTTGATCTCTGGTACTCTTTATTACAGAAACAAGCCACCTCAAGGCAGTATCCTCACTCCCATTGCTCAAGTATGTTACTTCACTTCCTGCTTCTTAATTAGTTACTTCTTCTGTCTCTAAACTGATGTTCATTTTAATTTATATCTCTAAATTATCATCCCATCGTGTTATTTGTGTCTCTCGTGAACACGGTATTCTGAGTTCTATACTGCACATTTAAGTTTGAAGAGATAAAAGGGAAAAAAAAAAAGAGTGAAAAAAGTAAAAGTTACAGATGCATGATCCATTTGAGTAGTATACAAGTGATGATACTTGAAACAATATCATTATAAAAGAGACTAGATATATTGAATAAAAAAATCAAATGGAAGTCAAAACAAATGCATGTGGCATTTTCACAGTATGATCCCCATGACACGTCAGATAGTACACAAATTATTTTATGTAAAAATATAATAAAATGTCATCTTTATATTTTTCTTGTGAGGAAAAAATAAAGAATAGTATTAAATAATAATAAACGTTCAATAAATATTTCATAAAATTTGTGTAACTTCTTTCCACCCTCTCATTTTATTTTGACACCAAACACAGCCTTGAAGAGTTGACGAAGTGAGGAAAACGTACATTCTCAGAAGCCAGAACAGATTATAGTGGGCCATATAGTGTTTTCTAGTGAATCATTAATTAAAAAAAAGGAATCAAAAGATCGCAATTTCTTATTTTTGACCACATCTTTACGGACATTATAGATTAGATTCTACGAGCCTACACATGAACAGTTTGTTGAGGTGGATTTGAATGAAAACTAGAACACGTGAGTTGTCCCAAGAAAAAGCGGTGGAGCCTGTCTGCTGATCATTCATGTACTAGGAAAGTGTCAACCTTATAATATGTCTTTTAAGCATAATGTTGTTGACTCATATATATATATTCCTATAGATGCTCTTTGATAATAATAACAATAATGTAAACAATATTATCGATATTAAGTTTTATTTATTTAGCTATTTATCAATACATATATCGATCTTATGTATCAGGTCTTTGTGGCTGCAACTCTGAAAAGAAAGCTGATTCGTCCTTCTAACCCACAAATGCTTCATGGAGGGCAGGGCCAACCCCCTCACGACTCACCTTCTGCTTCCCTCCATACCAATAAGTTCAGGTACGTACTAACTTTTCACCTTTTTTTATTTTTCATTAATTTCCTCTTTCAACTCTCTCTCTCTCTCTCTCTCTCTCTCTCTCTCTCTCTCTCTCTCTCTTATCTTGATAAGATTTGCTTGCACGTGATATCTTCTTTAGCTTTTGCTGTTGAAGAGAATCATTCAAATATACTCTGTTATTACCATAAGTACCAAAAGCTCTCAACTTTAGGATAAAATTTGAAATAATAGATAAACCTGATTCTATAGTAGAAGAACCTGCATGATCTGTATCTATACTAAATATTACAGAGAGTGGTATTTCGTACAGTATGAGTTGATATTCCCTTGCTGATTTTTCAGGTTCCTTGAGAAGGCCTGCATCAAGGTCCAAGATGGGAGTGACAGTAACACAAAGGAGAGCCCTTGGAGATTATGCACAATTGAGCAGGTTCAGCAAGTAAAAACCCTACTTTCAGTTCTTCCCATTTTTGCTTGCACCATTGTCTTCAACACCATCCTTGCTCAGCTTCAAACTTTCTCAGTCCAACAAGGCAGTTCCATGGACACCCACCTCACTTCTTCTTTCCAGATCCCTCCTGCTTCCCTCCAGTCCATCCCTTACATCCTCCTCGTCATCCTCGTCCCTCTCTACGACACATTCTTCGTCCCCTTCGCCCGGCGGTTCACCCGCCACGAATCCGGCCTCTCGCCGCTTCAGCGCATCGGAATAGGGCTCTTCTTGGCCACCTTCTCTATGGTCTCAGCTGCCCTAATGGAGAAGAAAAGAAGAGATTCAGCACTAACACAAAACAAGACCTTGTCCATTTTTTGGATCACCCCACAGTTCTTGATCTTTGGGATATCAGAAATGTTCACAGCTGTTGGTTTGATTGAGTTCTTCTACAAGCAATCACTTAAAGGAATGCAAGCTTTCTTGACAGCAGTCACATACTGTTCTTATTCCTTTGGATTTTACTTGAGCTCTGTGTTGGTTTCTCTGGTGAACAAGGTCACCTCCAATGGCGGTTGGCTTCGAGATAACAACCTTAACAAAGACAGGCTTGACTTGTTCTACTGGTTGCTCGCTGTTCTAAGCTTCCTTAATTTCCTGAACTATCTCTTTTGGTGCAGATGGTTCAATTATAACCCTTCCCTCTCATGTATAGAGAACAATGGGGATCATGATGCCACAGGGAACGACCATAGATCCAAGAACTTTGGAGATGAAAACATTCCTTAGTTATTAATCTATGGAACATTATCTTCGATCTTTATATTATTAATTGTACAAGTAGAAAAGTATAAGCAGTTGTGATGGCCTGTAATTTATGTCAAGCTAGTTATTGATAAGTCCCTATGTATTATATATATACCAATTAAAGTCATCCTTGCTTTTATTGGCCAAACAAAGTCCCTTTTTATTTTGTTCTATTTTTTAATCAACAACTTAGTCCTTTTTTGTATTTTGATGTTGCTTCCTTTTTTGCTTCAAATGATAATATAGAAATTTTAGTGCCAAAAACATTATTACATTCCGTCTGTGTGTATAAAGTTTAAAATAAACATAAATGTCATGGAATAAAAGGGATAAAGCTTTAAACCAAAAAAAAGAAACTTCTGCGATAAGTATGAGAATAAATGGGGGAAAAGAGATAAATAACATGATGTGTAATGCTTGAACATGTACATAAGAGACATAGTGATTCCAGTGTATATAAGAGGAAATTATATGGTTCATGGAGATATGAAATGAAAAGAGCTATTTGATGTACAAAGATGGGAAGAGATGGAAAAGAAGAATAATTTAATTTCTTACAAGATTAATGGGCATTTTTTCTAAAACTATTTGAGAAATATCAGGTATCCTAAGTTACTAAGTAATACTAGACTGTCATTGAAATGTCCAAAAGGTGCGATGTTTCTTGATCTTTCCTCATTGATTACACATATTACATAAGAAAGACTTTTGTGAAATGAGTAATTTCTAATACAAATACTTAAAAGGAGTACTATAAAAAAGAGGAACACGTTTTTTTCAGTTAATATATTCTTTGGTCTCTTAAGTATGCCTTCATTATATTTGGGTTTTAGTCCATCAAATTTTAAACGGTAGGTTTTGGTCCTTTAAGAGTTAAAATGGTCTAAGTTTTTATCAAATTATAGGGATCAATGCTTTAAACAAAAAGAAACTTGAAGAATTAAAACCTATGATTTGAAATTTGAAGGACCAAAACCAAAATGAGGACAAATTTGAAAGATTAAAGTTTGTATTAACCTTTTTTTTTTAAATTAACAAATTTTCTTAATCTTTGTAAAGCAATTGTTTAGTTCCTGTATATGTTTAGAATCAGCAAGAGCATTGTCATGCTAAAAAAAAAAAAATTCTTTTTTGGAGTGAAATTACACGAACGGGGCCTCCTAAAGAAAAATAAGGAGAGTTGAAGTTGTATGTGAGATGATATATGGAAGTTGCTTTTTGTTCTTTTTAACAAATAATGATGCAGCTTTTTTGCAAGGGGACAAGAGACATGTCTCCAACATGTTTCTGTGTTCCCACAAAACCCCTTTCAATTTAGAAATGTTCATCACTATGTTGGCTAAAAGACTACCAAAACAGCAACTTGTCATAGCACATTCAGCACCTTCATTTGGTCTTTCATATTATCATAGCCTCCACTATTACCATTGCTGTTGAAGTCTCTTTTTTAATTGAAGAAAAAACCAATCACTGTTATTTTAGATGGGTTGACATCTATTTGTTACTTTAAAATGAGGTCTTGGTTTTAAGTTTTATAAATAGTCACAATTGTTGTTATAGGAAATCCTTTTCATCCTTGTGAACTGAACCGATTCAATTTTTTGTCATGTACATATAATTTTTAGCATTTAAAATTTGACGACTATTATAAAACTAAAGAAAGAGTAGCGAAGGAGAGTAGATAATTAGAGAGAGCAACAAAGGAGAATAGTTCTCGTTCCATTCAAAATGCCGAATATATGATACATGCCTTTATTTAATTTATTGGCACATCTTTATATCTTTAATAAAATCTACAGATTATATAATAATATAAGATAGTTATGAAATATAAAGATAATAAGAGATATTAAAGATAATAGAAGAGGTATTAACATCGACATAAATATTATTATATTTGTAACAATGACTATTTTTTAAGTGGCATGTTTGTGCAAAATATAATACGTCAAATTTAGCCCATTGCTTGTATAAATTTAAAATCGTTGGCAAAATTTTAAAAGTTGAAAATTATTTGAACATGGCTGGGAAATTTCTGCTCAATTTTTTATTGTATGATATTTTTATACACAAACCTTCTTTCCTAATAAATGAATTTCTATGCTGTGAGCCTGTGACAAAAAAAAAAAAAGAATTTGTATGCTTTATGTGGAATTGTGGAAACTGCATGAAATCTGTAGTTAAGATTTAAGATGATTAAAAAAAAAAATTTCGCCATATTTTGAATTTTATTGTTTAAATATAAAAATAAATTTGTATGTTTTTTGATTTTTTGAGGCATGGATAGGGCTTAGGGAGGTCTTAGACCTTACTTATCCAAACTCATTACTTTCAAAAAATGGGGTTGAATAAAAAAGTGATTTTCTCTTAATACAACATTTTCATGGGGGCATTTACATCAATAACGTATACTATTCAAATGATTTATCTATTTATTTTAATGATTTTTTATTTAGGAAAGATGTTTCTTTATATTTCATGACAAAATATTTATTTTATTCCATAAAAAATAAATTTTTCGTCAGACACGTGTCTCTTTACTAAAGATAATTCTTTTTGAGGCTTGTACCAAAAAAAAAAAGGCTTTTCAAGGCCTGACAAAAGCAATTTTGCAAAGGGTAAATGGTCCTTAAAATGAATATAAGGCCGACAGACTGATAACAAGGTCCATTCATCTTGGCCCATCATTTCTGTTTGGGCCCAATATCGGAGGGTTTAATTCGTGCTTTCCATCATATCCCCATCTTCGTTCTTTCCAGTTCTTCGCAATTTCTCCAAGCACCATTCCCATTCGAGTTCAGTGGAAGAAAGAAAAATTTAACACTTGAGACGATGCAAGGCGGAGAAGAGGTCAGCATAGAGGAGTTAGCCTCCAATCTCTCTACCTACAAAGAGCAGCTCCACCAGGTCTAGTCCGTTTGTCATTTTTTTTGCTAGAATTTTGTTCGGTTCAAAATGATTTTAGCTGCTCTGAATTATTGATTATATTTCTGGAGGAAAAACATCTCTGTTGTTAGTTCGAACCCAGTCGAAATGTATTCTACCAGTTTTCTAGCAATTGATTTAAGATCGAACGCTATTACTCGACCAATTAGGGTTAACTTGACTTCGATTTTGATTTTTGATGGCGTACAAATAAGTTAAGTATATTATATTTGGCTTTGTTGAGCGGTGATGTTTATTTTTTCTTTGATACGAAAGAGTATTTTGTTAGTTACCATAAAATTAATTTATCTGGCAAACAAACTAGATTTCCTTAGACGTTTCAACATCATTCTCATTCACTTTTTGTCACACTTTACGTTAAATTTACTAGTGAAAGATAAAAGGAAGTGAGATAAGGTAATAAGGGAGAGCTGAATCTAATGTGTTGTTCGCTAGTTAGACTGTAAAATGCTAAGGAATTGAGGGTTATAAACTTTAAATCTTCATGTGAGGGAGAATTGTTGCCTTTGCGAAAGTAATTGATGCTCTTTTTTTTTTTTTTTTGCGGTCGGATGTGGAGGATGGATTTTATGGATTTTTTAGCGTGTCATGGGTCTTGTATCATTGATGAAAGGATAGAAAGCAGGGTAGCAATGGATTTTTGTTTGACCTAGGGGATTCTCATTCCTTAGTAATTAGGTTTGCGCCGAATGAGGATGCTTGATTCTTGATGTTTTTTGAGTGTCGACGGAGAAAATCCACCTTAGACTGAAAAATAAGTGGTCAAGGTTTGAAAGTTTCAGTTTGCTAAGTTGACTTTTTGTTTTACTTTTACTGTAGGTTTTCTATTCCTTGACTTTATATCCCGGTAGCTTGTGGATTTTAATAGATTCTTTATGTCTTTGCTTTCTACTGGAAGCTGGCAACCTTTATGTTTTAGCTTCTTGTTAAATTCTATATCCATGCATGCATCCTGTGTTCTTGAGTCTTATTGGCACTCGCTTAGTAATTACTGTTTTCTATATTCTGTCCAGGAAAAGTGGTCAGCATCATTGATAATCCTCACAGTCTAAATTTTGTTGCCATATCTAGTTCACCTTAGTTATTGCATTATGTAATGATGTGGAAATTAGCTTTTATAATAACTTTTTCCTTCATCTCTGGATCAGGTCAGACAACTTATAAATGATGAGCCTGGAAATCCTGAATATGCTGATATGGAAAAGGAGCTTAGAGAGGTATATACATATGCGTATGTAAATGTATACACTCACATTTGTATATTATGTATTATTTTTTGTGCAGTTTATACTTTGGCTGTCGCTATATTGTTATTTTCTTTCCATTTTGCATTCATTTTTTTTGTTTGTATCTAGTCTCGTTCAATTTCATCTGTATATATAGTTCATTACAATCTTACGTGGTGCTGAAACACCAAAGAGAGGACCAACATATGGTTGCTAGGTCTGCCATGTGATTCTTTCTTTCTCTTCCTTCCCTTCTTATTCATTACTGAAAGTCTAGTGGCTGTAAGAAAAAGGTGAGTATTGTGATGTCCAGCCTTGTCAAAATGCCCATCACTTTTATCTTGGTTCTTTGCAGGTGTGCTCTGTGTCGTGATGTCCAGCCTGCTTTCTCCCTCTCACCTGATATGAGATGTTCACACTGAGATTATAAGTTAGAATTTTGACATTAATTTGTTTATGGTGTAGAAGGTTCTGAAAAATATTTGCTTAACTGAATTGGAATGTGGCCTAAAATTGTGTCACACAGGTGATTGCTTTGACGGAAGAACTCCTGGCAACTGCAAAGCAAAATGAAGCATCTGGGTTGAATGATAATGCATCTGCTAGTTTGTCAAAGCCCGAGGAGAAAGTGGTATTTGGCTCATTCTTCTGATTTAACATTGATGTCTCCATTCATGGGTGTAGAATGTGTTTTGTCACCTACATTACTTCAAATTATCATCTCAAGACATTTAGTTTTCTCACTTACAGTAAAATATCATCCATTTATCATCTCCCGAGCTACGAGGATTACATAAACATCTGCTTACATCAAATGTTTTCTCTATTTATGGGGTTTATTGCCTTTGTTGGATGATGCTGCTCTGTTGTCAATAATATTGAATGTTGCTGTTTAGGTGTGTCAACTGGGAGAAGTTTCTGTTAGGTTTGGAAGTTTTGTCTATCAAAGAAAAAATGTCCAGAGTTTTTGTTTTTCCCCCCACATTGTATTTATTGTCTCCCTCATAAGAATTATTCTATTAAGGAAGAGAATGGACTAGTCGGGGATCATTTGATGGTGGCTGTTTTTACATGTTTTTGCATCTGTTATGCTCTTTGATGAATAATATCTCCTGCCTATGAAAGGAAGGTGCCTGTGCAAATTACCTGGCACGTCTTTCTGTTATGCTATTTTTCTGCATTGCCTTTAGTCACTGAAGAATTGCCTTATTGGAATTGACTTAATTGCTTGCATTTGATAATAGCTGATATTACAATGTGGAAGATGCTGTGGATGAAGTTATTCAAATCATCTTGGATGATTTTGTTTTATACTTGGCGAATTCTTTCCTGGTTATTGTAATTAATAACATTTTTTATTATTTCACTTCTAGGAATCTGAAAGCATATCTGATCATCAGTTTCCTGTTGGCTCTAGAGTTCAGGCTGTTTGGAGTGAAGATGGGGAATGGTATGTTGAGCAATTTATCTTGCGTATACCCCTTTCTTCCCCACTTATGTTTACCCTTTTTCTTTTTTTTTTGGAATTGTTGAATATTGAATGTACAGGTATGATGCAACAGTTGAGTCTCATACGCCTAATGGTTATTATGTTTCCTATGATGGATGGGGTAATAGAGAAGAGGTATGATTGCTACAACTACTTGATGAGTAGTTTAACTTCAATCCTAGGGCTTATTTGATAACACTGAAATCTAGCTTTGAATGCTCGCTGCTGGATATTTCAGTTATGAAAACTCAACTATTTGTTTAAGCACAACTTCGACTGGATGAAACTCCTGGCACTTCCTAAAACGAGTGAGACTATAATGATGGAAACTATTGCCGCTTGATTATTTTTAGGGGTGTTTGGATCAATATGAAAGCATTTTTAAAAAGTGCTTTCACGCAAGTCAAGGCAAAATTAATGTCATGATTTGGTTTCTGCCCAAACACCCCCCAAATTATTCTGTTGAATGTATTTGGTAACCTCCAACGTGCTAAATATTCAGTTATTTTCAGTGAAACTCAATTTCTGTTGAGCATTAAACAAACTCCAATATGCTAATGATACGCCTCTCATGCGTGGTGAATCCAATGACCAAGAGCATCAATTACAAATATGTATCTCGTGTTAAATTAAATTGGAATGCGGCTGTCTTTTTATTATAAGGCAGTGAAATAAAGTTTTTCCCCTTAGGATGACAGCCATTGCAACTTGATAATCAGAATTTTGATCCCTTCACTCTTAATGTTGTAGTAAATGCACTGAGTCATATATATATATATATATATATATTACCATATGACATCCTGCATATTGGGCCCCTCTTTCAACTATTGACAAATTTCCAATCCATTGTGGTTGTCACGTGTGCATATCATGGAAGTACGTATTTTATTTTGCAAGGGGAGAAGTGTTCTAGTTTAGAAGCTTATCATTCTGGAACTGCATTGATGTCATATGGCTAAACTGAGTCACTAACCTATCAATCAGTCTGAAGCATTATTTAAACTTTCAAAAAAGTTGAAAGCCTTTTGCTTTTTGTGTAACACGCCTCTAGGGTAACACCATATGTTGATAATAGTTGCTTTTCCCAGGTGGATCCTGCCAATATAAGGCCAATTCAAGAAGGTCCTGTCAATGCATTGTTGGAAGCTGAGAGAGTTGCAGAAGCTACAAAGGAGGCTATCAAACGTAAAATCGCACAAGCTGCTTCCGTTGACTTCCAATCATGGACTTTACCTGCAAAGCTACGCATAGAGCCTGATGACCCTGAGGATGTGGTGAGTCTCCTGCCAAGCTTTTATTGTTCAAACTTCTTTGCTTGGATGCTTGTAATTGAACATTTATTCTCCCCCAAAAATTTACGTGTTTGTAGTTGCATTCTGGAACAAGTTATTTTCTACACAATTTGTACAAGTCAGGTAGGAATAGTTTGCCATTGATGATTTAGTTGGTACCTCAAAATTGTTACAGAGAGCTACCAAACGCAAGAAGATGCATGCTTTTAAGTCAAAGATGCGGTTAGAGCAACTTGAAGTCACACAAAATAAGAGGCAGAATGCTTGGCAGCAGTTTCAGTCAACCAAGGGCAAAACGAAGAAGGTACCTATCTTTACGGAATTTCATTCTTGTGTTATTTATTATTATCTTATATTATCTTCAGTTTTGGTGTTTAATGCATGTCTTTCATATAATAGTCCTTATGAGTTTATATTCTTTATTTCCTCGATGAGAATGGACCTCTATCACCTGATGCTGGTCCTTGAAGTTTAAGAAATCAGAAAAAGAATGATTAATACTGAGGTCAAGATCAAATCTGGTTCTTAGTTTTCCACTGTCAAGCCTCTTTTCACCATCTCTTGAATATATATATATACGCACTTTTTTTTTTTTTTTTTTTGGTTTCCTATGTGCGAAAATTCTTTTCAATCTTCTAACTCGATCAATAAACTCCTCTGTCTTAAAGATTGGCTTCTTCTCTGGAAGAAAGAGGGAGAGCATTTTTAAGTCTCCGGATGATCCACATGGCAAGGTTGGTGTGACTGGAAGTGGGAAAGGTTTGACAGAGTTCCAGAAGAGAGAGAAACATTTTCACCTCAAGGGTGGGACGGTTGAGTCTGATGATTAGAGATTGTGCGGCTGCTACTGGCCTGCAATTGTATGTACCATCTTCAAACCTTAATAGAGTAGAGCTTCATGAGTGCACATTGCCATGACAAAGTAAAATGCTTTGAAACTGTGGTGCAATTCCTTAATATAGCCTCCTTTTTTATTTTATTTAAAAAGATATATTATGATTTTACTTTAGTCTCTTTGTTCGTGGTGGGGAACGACCAGGCAACCTTAATTTTTTTAAGAGCCTTCTTTTTCAATAAGGATCCATCTTCTACACGCTTCATAGTTGATTTGAGAATCAACATGTCAAATGATTTTAGTAAATCTAATCAGTGAAGGAGTGGTAAAGGAGACGAGGCAAAAAGCAGACAGTTTTTTTTTCAGTCCCCTTTGAAGCTATGAATAGATGAAGGAAAAGTTTTCACACCGTACTAATACAGTTTTAAACGATATACCATTGTTATAAAAGTAATCTATAAATTTAGATGGCATGTGGAAGAATGAAAGAAGACGAAAAGAATGGTCTCAGGAGGCCTCGCACTGAAACTAACGGACGTGCCTCCGTTAATTGATGCTCCAAAACAATGACCTCCCCGTTGTATAACATAAACATCACTAAAAACAATCATTTTGATTACAATTTTCACCGAAAACATTCCCTCCTGCTATTCAAAACTTTATATTTATACATCACGTTCAATTTCCCTCTCCTCCTATCCATTCTATTTCATTGGATGTCATTTCAATCTTTCTATCCACAGGTAGGTAAAAAAACACTTGAAAAAAATACTTTCACACAAATTGGCATTCCAAACGGCCCTTGCAACTCTCAAACATCCTCAAATTTAAATAAAGTTTATGGTGTGAGTGTTGGCTTGGCTTCTCTTAAAAAGTTCACAAGGTCATTGATCTTTCTCCCAGATAAAATTAAAAGACTAACCATGAAGTTAACTGCTTAAAATCCTTGGGAAGTCGCATGCACTCGAGCACCAGCCAACAAAGTTAGTGGCTTGCTGGAATTTGCCCTAACCACTACAAGCACTAATTCCTTTTAATATGTACAACAAATCACGAAAATTTAAGCTTTTCATGTTCTCGTGAACTATGTATCGTAAAAAAGAGGAAGAAAAGAATGATAGCAAATAAGAATATAGACATAGAATAGAGAAAGAATTAGGAAAATAGAAATTGGGGGGGGGGGGGGGGACTATACACAAGCTAAGACCTTCCCTATCTACAAACTTATGGATCTCGCTTGACCTTCCAAAGAAGCACCATCATCTCTGTATAGGATATTGGCTCCACATCCAGGATCATTCACTGAACCAACAGCCTCTTCATCAACTAGGACCTCTTTTATGTTATTAACATCATCCTTGTTTGGAATCTGTGGACAAAGTAACACAAAACTGAAGATATTCCTATTCATTTTTTTTTGCCTTGGCAAAAAAAAACCATGTACTGAGAAAACAACAAATAGACATATAAAATCTCTAACGCACTGATCTCATGTACGAGTATACTACCCTTCAAATAGACCAAAACAGGAAAATTCAGTTTCAAACGAAGTCCAAGGACATCATTGGTCACAGTTCGAAGAAAACAGACACTTTAATTTGATCCTTTAAAAATGGCGTTCTTCACAGTTCAATATTCCATAGATTTTTTTACATTGCTTTAGCACCCAGGGTTATCACTTTGTTAAATCCCATGGAATTGGGAGGAGTTAACTCCTTAAAAATTGCAAAGCATAATTTTTAGCATGTGCAATGGTGGAATTGGATCAAAATATACAACAGGGTGCTAAAGCAATGCAGACAATCTCTTAAATCTACACTTGATTTGAGGAATTAGGAGTGACTGAAATGGCATTATGGAATACTGGATTGGAAGGGTTTAAGGCATATGGATGTGGAAGAAAAAGAGGTATTGTTCCATATATCCAAATGTACCTCAAACATTGCTTCAGTCAGAACATTCTCTAGTATAGCTCTCAAACCCCGGGCTCCCGTGTTCTTTGCCATAGCTTTTCTTGCAATCAATCTCAAAGCATCATCAGTAAAGCGTAAATTTACCTGAAACATTAAACCAGAAATTAAACAAGTTACTCCAAAGACGCTATCATGCTGATACCCAATACTGAATACCTCAGCAAGGTCAGAGAAAAGGAGAAAATCTGGAATGGTTTAAGGGGCTTACATTGTTCATTCCAAACATCTTCTTATATTGTTTAACGAGGGCATTTTTAGGTTCAACAAGGACCTGTATCATAATAGATTTGGTAAGGAATAGTGAAGTAAAAAGAACTGATAAAAGGCTATAACCAAAAACCCGAGGGAATGGGGTGAAGACAGAGAAAAAGAGAAAGAAATGAAATGAAATAAAGAAAAAATAACGTCTGGTCTCATGTCTTGTTATACAAACTACTAGATGTTCTGAAACCACATATTCCGTCATAATTTGACCATAATGCGACAGAGTTTCACACAAACAATTTGTCTACTTGGATTTTAAGGAGCTAAAAGCAAGTGAAAGCCCAAACCATCTACAAACCACAGCATATAAACATGCCAGGCCTTATCAATCAGCACAGAGTAAGGCAGAATTTGGAGAGAAACATACAAGTTAAATATCATGATATACCTGAGCAAGTTGGTCCTCATTCAAAGCAGACAAACCCACTAAAATTGGAAAACGCCCCACAAATTCAGGTATGAGGCCATATGCAATGAGATCATCACTTTCTACCTGCAAATTCTTAGAATCACTACATTAGCTATCAGAACGAGTTACTAGTCAAAGCAAAATAAATTCACAGATCCAACCAAACAAATGGTGAAGAACAGTCCCCTTAATTAAAAGAAATAAACAAAATAAGTAAATGTATAATTCATCTTGAGCCTTTAGTTCTCACATTTTCTAGAAGTGATGATGCTACCACAGCATCGGTGAATCCCCCAGTCCTCATATTTGCACGAACTGGAGCTCCAAAGCCAATGGAAGAATCCTGCTTCCTGTAAAAGAAATGTGGGTCAATCAAAATTTCTAACTAAAGAGAAGCAGCATGCATGTAAAACTTGAAGATCCTCACCTTTCTGAGATGGTCTTCTCCAAATTAACAAATGCCCCTCCACATATAAAAAGAATATTTTTTGTATCTATCTGTCAAGCATCAAGAATCGTAATGAGAGCAATCCAAGATGTGAAATTCCCAGTCTGCAAAATGGCTTTGCATTACAGAATTCTACCAAGAGGTCAAAACTATGCACAGAGGAAATTATCTGTTTATGGGGGAAAGGGTTAAAAATTAGAGTTCCATCCAACAAACAGCATGTACTGATTTTTACAAGTTCTCATTAATTTGAAGCACAGATTGATGTTAGCTTCAAAATTTACTCAACTAAAACGCAGAGTTGAAGCATTCAGTTGTACGGAGTATCTCATAACTAGAAGATTCACCCTTCATTAATTCATGAGAAGGAATATCAACATTATTCAAAATTCTCACTTTCATCGCAGGATAAATCACAGGTCAAGATATACTGACAGCAATTATATTCATGAGGCCTACCAAAAACAATGAACTTCTATTATGCAGTTAAACCAACTGTATATCTTCTCTTAAGAGAATGAATTCCATTTTGGATATAGAAACTGAAGCACTTTCCCAATAATCATAGGTCGCAAAAAGATTTAGCAAAGAAATATACTCATTTCACAAGAGAAATTAGAATGTTAATCACAGAAAGCCAACACAAGCGAAGATTGTTTTTGTTCCAAGTATACCAGAATGTTATCCCCAGAAAGATACTTGCGAGCTCCTTTATCAGGAACACTTACTACCTGAAGTGGGCAAAAGAAAAAGAAGGAATACCATTAATATAAAGTTTAGGGCAAGACAGACTTTTGAATTTAATTATTCTCAAGCTGTATGAATGCAAACTAAAACAATTATCAAGGACAGACATATAGTTTATGGCAAGACAGTCTCAAGCTTCGCTAAAATTTTATGACACTGATGGGATAAGTACTGTGGATGTGAGCAATGACTCCATCCAAATCCAGTAACTAAACAGTTCCTGCAGCTTACGAAAAGTCTAAGCTCAACCTGAGTATGTACTTCATAAAATTCCTATTCCAGCATTCTCAACTTTCCTCATTCATAGAGGCAATTTCCCCAACCAGAAGATAATCATGTTATTGCATATGCAGTTTCATTGGATATCCTCACGCACACAGAGTGGGTGGGCGGGGGGTTGGGTTTTTATGCTTGAAAAACGGGTTTAGCAGGAGCCCATTAAGGGGAATGCAAAGTACATAAAAATCAGCAGAAAGTTTAGCACACTTCCAATGTCGCCAAGACTCTTCTAAGAGCACTGTTATCCCCTATGGCCCAAGGAATTGTACCGTCACATAATTTATAGAGATAATTAGGAATAGCTGACATTCAGAATGCCACATGCCCCATTTGTGACTGAAGTTTCACAGGGTAGGAAAAATAAGGAATAAAATTCACCCACCGTGCTTTCCAGCATTTTTAGTAAGGCCTGCTGAACACCCTCCCCAGACACATCTCTACCACTGTTTAGACTCTCCGCCTGCAGAAGTATTTCATCAAAATCAATATCTTATACTTCTTTAGTGATATAGAAACAATATTTTGACAAAATGCTACCTTCTTAGTAATCTTATCAACTTCATCAATGTAGACAATCCCGTGCTGAGCTGCTTCAACATTGAAATCAGCTTCCTGAAAGATTATATTTATCCATCAACTAGTGTCACAGAATACTGCAACAGTCTGCTAATTATAATAACCTAGGATTCCTAATAGACGCACCCGGTTCAGAAGTGATAATTTTGAAAATAATAGGAAAGTGAGTGACAAAAGGGCATCACCTTAAGCCATGAACAGCTCTCAGAGTATACATACTTTTAAGCAATGAATATATGCTTAACAATAAAATATGTAGCACCCAGGTAAGAAGTCAGAGTACATACCACAAGAAGCTTATATAATACTGATTCCACATCTTCTCCAACATAACCTGCCTGAAGTGTGTAAGAGCACATGTTAGAGGGGAGGGAGGGAGGGAGAATTTGTATATCAGTGAAACTCAGCCCAGACGACCAGTGCAGGAAAGAAGAAACAGAATAATCTAATCACATAATAACATATGCATAAACACATAGAACTACAAAGAATATTATCCAACTAACTTGCCTGAGTCAATGTTGTAGCATCAGCAATGGCAAAAGGAACATTTACTATACGGGCCAGTGTTTTTGCCAGCAAGGTTTTCCCTGTCGTGAGGAAGTCCGTATTCAATATAAACATGATCACATCTTGAATGCAAAAGCATCACTAAAATAGTAATGATAATCATAAAGAAAAACACTTCCAATGTTCTCGAAGAGTCTATAGTATTCATACCTGACCCCGTAGGACCTATCAGTAATATGTTGCTTTTTTCTGGCTCAACAGAGTCATCTTCGTCCTCATCTTCAACTTCCGTTGATTCCTGATCAGAGGTTTTCTTCAAGGAAGCAAGGCGCAACCTATTGTAGTGGTTATAAACAGCCACTGAAAGCACCTTTGAGGGCAATTCAGGCATCAGTAGACGCGAGGAAAGCATGCATAATGTATAGTCTCACAGAGCAAGATTGTTATAAGAAATGAACCTCAAATACGCAAGCTTGACATACTTTATAATGCATTTAGGCGCTATATGATATCTTGGGGTTATGTAACAAAATTGGTTTTTTTTTTTTTTTTCCGGCCATCAGTAACAAAATCGAAGTTACGCAATACTGATGAGCGAGAGAGTTATACTCACAGTTTTCTGACCCATTAAAACCGGATAACCAAAACTCGCCTCTCAACTCACTGCAGTGCATCTGTGTAATTAACATCTAGATTGAACAAGAAGATGCGCACATTTCAAAATACAACGGCTCTGCAGCTCTAACGATAGATAATTATCGGGATACCTGATTAAATCCCACCAGAACAAGGTAATAGTTGCCTTCTTTTGTCTAACTACCACTAATGTGATCACTCTAGTAAATCATATTTGCATGTTCATTACCAAGTGGTTTCAGAGTTGGTAGCCCTTAAGTATTATACTGATATCGTCGTAATATCTTAACTTAGATCATTTACAACTCGTAAGGATGGAATTCGGCAAAGTCTACGCATTGATATCATACTTTTCGACCGCTAAATCAAAGTCCGAACCTTTTTGGCTTTTTCTTGCCCAACAACATACTCGTTCAGTACTTTAAAAATCTCCTTCGGTGTTGGCAAGTCCTTCACCGAACTTGACCTGCCACTGTTATCATCGCCGCTTTCTGCACAAAACCCACCCCCACCACCACCATTCCCACAAGACAGTGCAGGCCCCTCATTCTTGTTCAATTGTGGAGCCTCACAATCTTTCTCTCTGCTTCCATCACCATCCTTAGACCCCTTAACCCTACATAGCTCGATGAAACTCCCCTGTAAGGGAGCCAGCTTGAAGGGCCTAAAATAAAAGGCCGTTCTGCAACCCGGACAGAGATTCAGTGCCTGGTAGACTCCGGGTTCTCGACCCGAAATCGATAGGGGTCGGTTCGAGAAAACGACAGACATCAGGGAGGAACATCGAGGGCAATTAACATCGGCCCTGATGTGGTCATACCGATCATCGGAGGTATTACCGTTCCATTTGCACCGTCTCTGGACCCAGATTGAGGATGTGGCCGTGGTTCTGGATTCAGAAGGGCTGAGAAATTTGGGGAAAGAGTGATGTTGGAAGAAGAAGGAGGATGAGCAATGAACCGGGTCGTGATTTGGTGGAAGGTGCTTGTGGAAGTGGTCTTCTTGCAAATTCTGCTCAGAACTGGGAACATGCTTTCGTTCTTAATTTCCCCCTTTCTTTCCTTGAGGCGTTGAGGTTGACGGTGGTTTTGGTTTTCTCTTGGTTTGGTTTGGCGAGGTTCGCCTCTCGTGGCTAGTAGCGGTAGCACAGTGAGAAGCAGTGAGCGAGAGCTTATTGGGGAAGAGAATCTCTGCCTGGAAGACACGTGTCGCCCCAAATATGAAAGAAGGGATTCCTGTGAATGTTTCGAAATATTTTAAGGAAATCAAAAAATGAGTACTTATCCACGATCTTCAGACACAGTCACGCCGAGGACTCCCATTGTGCGCGTGTGGCTACGTGCAGTGGTTTTACAAAGACTTTGGTCAACAAGCGCACAAGAAATTTTAATTATATTATTCGCTTCTTTTTTTTTTTTGGATTTCTCCTCTGGTATCTCAGGAAAATAGGCGTCTTTCAGCCGTGACAACGTTCCCAGACTAATCCGGATCGAGGGCTTGCAAGGAATCTTTCGGTCGGCGCTCTCTGGCCTCTCAGTGTGCTGCATTCCCACAGCTCGAACTCGAGACCTGTGGTTAAGCTAGGACAGCCCCAGCCAGCTGACCTAACCCCTCGGGGTTATATTATTCGCTTTATATACATTAACCAAACACATTCCTAAAAGAGAATTTTTTTTTTTTTGCCAGCTCTTAAAAGAGAAGTTTGGTGTGCGTTGCCAACTCTTAAAGAGAAGTCTTATATACATATTCTACCTCATTTTCGAATATTAAAAAATAAGATATTATGAATGAATCATTTTATACATAATTTCATTCTTTTGTAATAACTTGATGTATTCCATAAAAGAAAGTTTAAATTAATTATCTAATGATTTTGAAATAATTCAAGCTAATACTATGAGACAAATTGATAATAACAATCAATTTAAACACTGTCATGTGCACAAACATATTGATATTGGGTTCGAGTCCAAAAGCTCGTTCAAACATGATTGGTTTCCCCACTACTAAGAAAACTTATTGTTACCATAATATACCTAACCAATATTTAAAAATGCCTTTTGTATCATATTCCAAGATATTAATTATATTCGTTAATATGATTTTTTTTCTAAAACATCTTAAATATTTTTTTATTTCCTTCGTCCTTCTCTTAATTATTATTCACGAAAATATCAATAAAGTTATATTAAAAAATAATAAACATACGAAATAAATTTTACATATAGTACTACTTCTGGTCCTAATTATAAAACTAGTTAACTAATTTGAGGAGATTAAAGAAAGGAGTTAAATTAATTATTTGTAATAAATATGTATTGTCTTTCCTAAAATATCCTTGTTAATTAAGTGTATTGGCTAGAATTATCATTATTAGAAGGATTACTTTGAAAAAAAATATAAATATGATAAACAAAATGGATTAGGTTTTTATATTTAGGATCAAAATAAAAGTCAAACAAGATCTTATATTAAAGGTAGGAGATAATATCAATATCAACTACCCACTTAGGTCTTTTATTAAAGACAAAATGAGTAATATAATGGATGAAAGTATTAAATCAATCTTCATATAGATTTTAAAAAAAAATAACACACTATTTGTGAACTAATTGTGGCTTGTTTCTCAAATTTTGTACAAGTCACCGCACGTGCGCATGACTCTTATCTAGAGCCTAATCTTTTCATATGCCTTTTTATGTTGCCAATCCAAATCCTTGGACTTGTTTAACAAGAATAAGTGGCATGCAATATTGCAATGAAAATGAAAATAAAAAAACGGTGGAGACTCCTTCATTTGCATCCACTCGGAGAAGAGCGACCATGTGGTTTCCAATTTGGCAAGTTGGCTGACTCTGACATGGCCTTCATCTTCTCCTCGCTTCCGGACAAAAGGATCCGATTTCCCCTAGAAAGAGAATGCACCGAAAACGACGTCGTTCATGTCTGCATTCCGAAGTGAGGCACACAAAAACAACACGCTCGTCCTCCTCGTCCTCGTCCTCCGCCCTCTTCGTCCCTGTATGCTTCTGTTCCGTGAGTGAGTCTGTGGCAACTAACCTCAGTAGCTCCGTTGTTTGGAGTTTGGATGAAAGCCATCTACCTCAAATTCCTCACACCCAGGAAAAACCCGAAATGCCTTCGATGAAAACGATGCCCAAAGCATTTTCCCTGGCTTCTATAAATTCAATTCCACGTACCCCAGTTCCTAAATTTTAGTTGGAATCGATCCCATTTGTTTGGTTTCGTTCCCTTCTGCAGGGGTTTGATTCCTCTTCTCATGGCTCCCATCAGTCTGAAGCAATCCTCGAACCCCTCTTCCGCTGCTCAAACGATTGCGTCTTCTCAGGATGCTCGAACTCTGGTGCGTGAAACACTGCGCATCAGTGCCGATTTGGCTTCATCATCGCCGGCTGTTGCAATCCCTCACCTTGCCGAGACGACGTCGGATCTTTCTTGTTCTTCTCCATCATCATCGGCGGCTGTGTTGGTTGGATCGGATTGTCGGAGGAGAGTAGGGGGTGGTGGCGTTGTTGGTGCCGAGGAGGCTATGAATCCGAGCTTGAGACTGATTTGCTGCGAGGAAATTGATGGTCGTAGATGGAACTATGTGGCGGAAAATGATGGCTCTGGAGGTTTCGTAAAGAATTCATTCCGTGGGCTCAGTTTGCAGACTCCTCAAGCTCCTCTTGATGTAAGTTTTGTGGCCCTTAATACTTATCTGAATTTTACATCATACTTTATGACTGCTTGGCTTTTTTTTTAAAAAAAATTCTTTTCTTTTGGTTGACTTTTGTGTTAATTTTGAAGTTTTCTTCTTCCTTGCTAGTTGTAACACCGGAAGTAGATGCAGGGGCTTTAAATTTTACATCTTTGAGATAGTTTTTTCATGTAATATCTCCCCTGCTTCTTACAAGATAGTTGCCGTACTCTAATATAGTATTCCAAATTATTAAGGACCAAAAAAAAAAAAATCCGAAATCGTTATTCAATCTTTTGTTAGGTGGGCCTAAAGTGGTTGATTGAATCCCGGTTCTTGAGTTGGGAATTGACTGTTTCCTTTTTGTACTTGCATTTGATTTTGTATGTGCTTAATATTTTGAAATCTAGAGAGCCAGAGGAGACTGGGATTTGCTTAAAGTTAGACAGTAGGACAAGTTTTAGATTAATAAGTTGTAAAAATAATTTCAAAGAACAGCGATTTTTCCCCTTGATTTTTCTTGAATCCATATTTAGTTCGTTTGGAATCACAATTATTAGCACTTATAAGCATGTTTCATGCAAGCCAAATATCTATCTTATATTCCATAAATCACGATGAAAAAGTTGTTTATAAGTCATTCTAGATGAGCTCAATTGTGGTATAGCAAGATTTAGCTAATTATAAAAACATTGTGAATGAACAAACCATTTACTTTGTAGTTGTTATTGGTTAATCATGAAAATATTTGACAACAGTGATAAAGTTGATGGATTTTTTATATCACTTTAGTTTTAGGCTCCAATGAAAGAAAGAGGCAAGATCTCTGGCCCCAGTGTATTATATTCAGATATCACGTGTTGACGTCAAATTAGAAAGAGGAAAAATTTAGTTAATTTTTGCTATGGTGTTCTATGTATGCAGGAGGTAATGTCATTCGTAAGATCCTATGTTGTTCCGGAAGGTTTCCCTGATACTGTTAGCCCTTCATATGTCCCATACATGACATGGCGGGCTCTAAAGGTATTTGCTTTAGTTTTGCTTTGTTCACTAAAATTGAAGTAGGCAGTATAAGAGTTTAAGTGTTAACTCATTTGGAGGCAGTGCAATGTGCTTCCATGTTGTCATTCTTAAGTTCTTGCAGTATTAGTTTCAAAGTAGTTTTTGGTATATAGATGAATATGCTAAATCCTTTCTGATCAAGAATCTTTTTACCTTTGTAGCACTTCTTTGGTGGAGCAATGGGTGTTTTCACAACTCAAACACTTTTAGGCTCAGTTGGAGTCTCCAGAAACAAAGCTACTCCTGGTGCTGTTGCTATAAACTGGATTCTCAAGGTGGGATTTATGGGCTATGCTACAATTGAGAAATGCCATGTTTTCATTGCAAACTTTCAGGAGATAATTTTTATGAGAAAATAAAGGTCCAATCTTGTACCTGGCATGTAACGTATGTTTTTGGCTCATTTGAGTGGTTTTTTTCCATGGATGTATAGTTCTTGACTCTGTCCACTAAGTGGCAGGCAAAGTGATGTCTGTTATCTATGCAGTAAATTAGGAAAGTGGATGGGCAGTTCCTTTTACGAGTAAGAAAATTTTTGTTATGATTGATCCATGTTCTACCATAGTGAGGGAGGTAACGGAAAAAGAAGACGTCTTTAACAATGAAGAAGATGAGCTCTTCACCGCCATCATCCTCAGCACAACTCTGATGGAGATGAGGAAGAAGAGAAACAGATAGTGACAAGAATGGAATCAATTTTGACTATTTGATTTCTCATGCTTAGTCTAACTTGGATTGTTTTGAAGCCACTGTGTGTCTGTTTGCTCACCTAGCATTGAATACCAATTTTTGGGTGCATTTATTGTTTGCAAATTGGCTCCTTTCCATCCATTATGTTTTACTTTTATTCAAGTAAATTTACATGTGTTAATCGCATTTGCAGGATGGTGCTGGTCGTGTTGGAAAGATGCTTTATGCTCGGCAGGGAAAGAAATTTGATTGTGATCTAAAACAAGTACTAAGTTACTTGCTTCTTGTGAATCTGATTATATAAATTTGAGCTATCCTTTAATCTTTCTGAAAATTAGTATTACAGATGCGATTTGCAGGTGATCTTTTGATGGAGTTGGGTGCTGGAGTAGAGTTGGCAACTGCAGCAGTGCCACATTTGTTTCTTCCCTTGGCTTGTGCTGCTAATGTAGCAAAGGTTGTGCTGCTTTCTTAAGACAAGTGATTTATTCTCATAATTTTTGCAGGCTTTTATCTTACTTTTTGGGTAAATTGTCATCTGTTTATTATTGTTATTAGAATGTTGCTGCTGTGACATCAACATCAACTAGGACACCCATTTACAAAGCATTTGCTAAAGGAGAGAACATTGGGGACGTCACTGCTAAAGGAGAATGTGTTGGCAATATTGCAGATCTGGTATGCTTCAGAACTTCTCTACTAATTGCTATGGGGACAATCAGTCGATAAATTTTTGTGGCATATGGCACATTCTATAAATTCTGTACTAATTACTTGATGTTGATAGACTAGTTAATCAATTGGTAATGTACGAAAGGAATCAATTATGGACATTAATATAAATAGATCTGCTCTTCATAAAAAATTTGGGATTTGCAATCCTTGGTAAGGTGGGTTAGTACTGATGATTATTTTCGTACTTGATGGAAAGAAGTGTTTGTCCTCTTTCGGTCTTTTCATATGCACTAGCTTTGGACTTTGCCCAGTCAAAAGTAAGATTGAAACATTGCTGCAATGCAAGTTTGTTTTTCCAGAATAATTAGTTGTTTCTGAAATCTTTTCACAATCTTTGGATATAGCAAATAACTGAAACCTCTTGATATATTTTAGGTTATTGCTAATTGAGCATGAGTCAGGCTTTCATTTAGAATATATTTTAACTTTTGGAATCTTCTTTGCATACAACCACTAAATTAACAGGGCAAATTCTGGGATATGTTTGCCTAATTGTGTGCGAACATGTTAGATATATTGTGCTTTGAGATCAGACTTATGAGGTAAGTTATTAATTTGCAGGCATTGTAAAATAATATATAAGCAATGAGGATATGGGTTTGAAGTTTGGCTGATTGTTTTTTCCCCCTAATTAACATAAGATAGCAGGGCAGCAAGCTTTAATTTGCTGAGATTGTTTTCTTGGGCTGATATTTTAATTTATATTTTTGGAACCTTACTAGCTAAGGTAGCCTTATGTTTTTAATTTTCTGCTTCAGTTGATGAAATCAAATGCTCCTTTTTTTTTTTTCCAACTTACAGTTAGGAACTGGTTTGAGCATTTTAATATCCAAAAAAAATCCATCACTGGTGACTACGTTTGCCCTCCTTTCTTGCGGATATGTCCTTAGCTCTTATAGAGAGGTTTGTTCCAATAGCTCTAAAGTTATGCTTTCTTTTCTTTTCATGTTTCCAGTGTTGTTATCTGTCCTCAAACACTTGTACACATTTATAGGTAAAATCTGTTGTTTTGCATACACTGAACCGGGCAAGATTTAGTGTGGCCGCAGAGTCCTTCATCAAGACAGGTATCATAACATTGATTTAGGTGTATGCTTTGGGTCATGGTGTTGTTTTCTACTTTATATATTTTGTGTATATAGGCGCTGGTGGTTTGTTTTTGACATGTTATTATTCCGTTATACTCATTGCTTGTATTTTTATTAATTTTATTTGTTTCAGGGCGAGTACCCACTGTCCAGGAGGGTAATATGAATGAGAACATATTCAAGTTTCCATGGAAAGATAGGCCTCTAGTCCTTGGTATATGAATGGACTGAAATGCCTTTACTTAATGCAGACATCTTGCTTGAAAAATTGAACTTGGATTTTTTTTTTTTTTTTTTTTTTTTGTAATTCAGGATCAAGATTCAAGGAAGCATTCCAAGACCCTGCTGCATATGTTGCCATACAGCCTCTGTTTGAGGTGTTTGCCTTTTTGACTGGTTACAAATTTTGATCTCTCTTTCACTAATTGATTTGTAAATCTGATGCGTTCTTATATGGTTTTTGGCGGATAACAGAAAGAGAAGTATATTGTGACATATAACCCTTCAAAGTGTAAGGTGTATGCTCTGCTCAAGGATGAGGCAAAGTCAGATGACATTTTAAAAGCAGCATTTCATGTGAGACATACAACTGTCTCAGGAATTTGTCATGGTACCTGAATAGAACTTATGAAGTAAATCACCTTAATTTTTTGCAGGCACATCTGCTCTTGCATTTCATGAATTCATTGAATGGAAATAAGGTTTCTTCTGGTAAGCAAAGGGATGATCTCAAGTCGAATGTGGTGCACTCAATGGCCGACCTTGAGGCTTATATTGCTGATTCGTGCAAGATGGTAGCAAATTCATATGGACTTTTCAAAAAGAAAGCAAAGGACCAGGTATGAATTCGTTTTATGATGCATATATCAATGAGGGGAAAGGGAAGAAAAGAGAAAGAGGGGGAGAAAGAGACGAGAGAGGAAGAGAGAACTAAAGAAACAGTACTTTCCTATCAACCAAAAGTCTATTGCGATTAGTCCCTAATCCATCTATTTATGGTCATTAGCTGCTAACAGTCATCATTCGTAACTACCCCAACTAACCCTTAACTTTCTTCTTTTATTTGATACGATAACATACCAGCTTATCTTCATTTGATAGGTTTATGGCTTTGATTGTGATGTAGTGGGATATCATAATAATTCTATTTAGTCACTATTTGTAGTGTTCAGGCTATCACATTCGTTCCATACGTAAATGTACACATTGTAGTTGCCAATCCATGTTGCAAATAACAGGCACAGAGTGGTAACTTGGGCTTGTCCCACCCTCAATTTTTTAAAAGATAAAAAAAATAAAAAGGCACACAGTTGGCCTGAGCAAATCCTGTTTCATAAAATTCAATTGAATCTGATCCGATCAAAACTGACTAAAATTAATCATTTGGACGAGATTTTGGCATTTAGTTGCTGGGTATCTGTATTGACAGACATCCGAGCCAAATGAAACCAACGTCAATAGGCCTCATCTCACCAGGTGAGTTTGGTTGTATGGATTACATAACGCTGTTATGCTATATTAACAACCATCTTTTTAGACACCAAAAGATCCTGTTTGATAACTTCCTTGAGTGTTCTTCTTGTTCGTTTCACCTAATGGAACCAATTGATTAAAAAGTTAAATAATACTTAAATGTTTGTTTGAATACAAGTATAATATATCTCTATTTTGTGTTCCATTTGAATTTTGTTTAAAGAAACATTTAAGGTTGGACTCTTGAAATTTTAGAGGATTTGGAATTGATTGGATGGGATTTTCAACCTTTGAGTTAGATTGGTTCAGTTGGTCAAAGTAATCTAGACCAAACCAAGGAAATCTGTTCATGATTGGGACGGCGTTATTTAATATGTATTCTGTTACTGAAGATAATCATTATCGCTGCAAATTATTTGTAATCCATTTTCTTGCAGGGATGGACTATGTCAGATTCACTTCTTAATCCTGGTCGAGCTAGGCTCGTATCAACTTGATGGTACGCGTTCTCACTTGGATGATGTTGGGTTTTTAGTGCAAAACTTCGACAGCTCTGGATGTGGACTGAATCATACTGAAGAGTGAGCTTAGATTGAAAGGAGTGGAGAATAATAACAAGTGAAGGAAATATATGATGTGGATCTACATCAAAATTTCCCCTCCTTGCCCTCTATTTTCCTCAATTAAAATATATCCTATGGCCTAAAGGCATTGTATCCTGTGAAGCTCGGGAGAATCTGCCATTTGAAATCCATACATGGGTGAATTTTTCCACTGGTCATCTGCGTGGGGCGGCCTATTACAGGATTATTTGAAGAAGAATTTGTTAGCATGAATGTGGATAGAACGTTCCCACTTTAGATATTCATCTTATTCAATATTTTGCCTCTTCCCTACTTCTGTTCCATTCTTTTCTGGTCCCCCCCCCCCCGTTTTTTTTTTTCAGTAGGGATTTCTCTCAGACAAGTTGTCTTCCAATTTTGTTTTGTTTTGTTTTTTTAAATTTTTTCAGTGAGTTTGATAATCTTGATGTACATGTTGAAACCTTGAGGATCAGTTCAACATTCCCCATTTGCACTCCTGTGGTTTATTAAGCTTATAAATGCACTTTTCTTTTCTTTTTTCAGTAGGGATTTCTCTCAGACAAGTTGTCTTCCAATTTTGTTTTGTTTTGTTTTTTTTTTTTTAATTTTTCGGTGACTTTGATAATCTTGATGTACATGTTGAAACCTTGAGGATCAGTTCAACATTCCCAATTTGCACTCCTGTGGTTTATTAAGCTTATAAATGCACTTTTCTTTTCTTTAATCTCTTTGGAGGTGTAAAGGACTCAGAAATCATGTTCTTAAGAAAGTTGTCTGGTTTGTGGGCGTTTTACAGGTTTTTGAATAATCTCATAAGAAGAATTAAACAAATTTGGATCGATAAGGGAATGAGTGTATTACCATGGTAAATTAAATATGGCTGCTGAACAATTTGAAACACAAGATTAGTACTATTATTATTATTATTATTGTGTGATGAAGCAAGAAAGAGATGATGGAGAAAGATTGTGTTTTGGGTGTGGCATGAAATGGAATCAAAACTCCACAGTTGTGTGGTGAGGAGCATTAATTTAGGAGGCACTTGCGGATAAGTTTGCCTTTGAAGATGTCATTTCATTGTCAGCAATGGCTCCTCATTAAATATTTCCCCACAAAACATATTTAATGTGTCTCTGAATTTCTAGCTTCCTTATTTATTGTCACCCTCCCCTTGGATGTCCAGCTAAATTGTTTCCTTCCTGTCATTTAACGTGAATGAATTCAATTTGATTTATACGATTCAATTTTTATTTATTTATTTTTTGGGTTTTCTCTAATCAGATAAAATTGAGCATAAAATATAATACAAATTAATATATTCATGGTGTTATGGCACAAGAAAAGTAAGCATGTTCCGCTCAAGTGTGTTCCCACCTTTTCTTTTTAATCTGTGGTAATTTTTTTTTTTAGTAACTTTTTTTAATGAAGAACAGTTTTTTTCCCCCTTGAATTGAAAGGACAATGTGAGGGTATGTGTAAAAGTTGAGGTCCCCTCTGTTACATCTTACAATATAGGAGGTAGCTCAAACCACCATTGACTGTATTTAATTATTTATGATGATATGTTCACTGTTGTCTGTGGGGAACAGTCTTTCTTTTTTGGGGGGGGGTTTCTGGGGATGGTTTAGTTCAAAAATCACCAAAAAAAAAAAAGAAAAGGAAAAAGAACCTAAAGGCTCCAATTTTGAGTTTGAGTAGTTCTTTTCACTACCATTTTGTATTTATAGAGGCTTCTTTGAACCATTAATTTCTCTAAACAAAGATTCCTTCCATCGACAATGTCCCCACACACAGCCATATTGGTTAAAAGAAGTCAGGGTATAGTTGCAGTAAAATATAATTTATAAGAAGTCTGCTTAATTTATTATTTATTTTTAGGAAAACTTGTGCATATTGTGAAAGTAAAAGGATGCCAATATAATTTCAATAAAACTAAAAAATTATGCATATTTTTTATTTTAAATGTAATTATATGTAGCTTCAAATATAAAAGAAAAATTGTGATTTTACATAAGAGAGTGTATTGTGATTATTATTAACTTGTCTTCACATAGAATAATTACCATTATATTTTATAGAAATTAATTTGTCCATGAAAACTTGTTCAAGATTTGGATTTGAAATTTTTTTTGAAATTGCTTCTTCGATATAATTATTCATTGTTCCTCCAGTTGTGTTGTCTTCTCCGCCAGCTGCTACAGACAGAGAACATTCTTACTACTACTGCCCCTGACGATGTACGAGCATATCCTCAACACATTTACTTCTTGATTTAAATTTTTGGACTTTCAAATTTTATTACTTCCTCTTATTCTTAATATAAAACTTAAATAGAAAAATTATAATCAATTCCTAAAAAATATAAATAATCACTAAAAAGTCTCAATAATAATTTGAACAGCCTAAGTTCTAGAGTATAGAGTGACAACTTCTGAGACATATTTTATAATTTTTTTCCTTCATTAAGACCTCATTGTAATTCTTCCTAATTCATTTGTATAAATCTAAAAAGTCAAATAAATTATTTAATATTTAATGATAATAAATGATACTAGATCTTTTTAAAATAGCCATGTCTAACATGCCAGTCTACTACATCCGATCTATAATATAAGAGTTAGTTAACTAAATTTATAAGAATTGGTTGATTAAATTGAGTAGATTAAGAAAGTTTGTTAAGTTAGTTATTTGTATTAAATAGGTACTATCTTTCTTAAAATACCCTTACTAATCAAAAGTATTCCCATAAACCTAAATATAAGATCCTTTTTATAGTGTAAATTATACTATAAAAAGAGTCTTACATTTAGGATCGGAGGAGTATTAGCTTTAACATTTGATGAAATTTATAATATGTGAAACTATTATAAGGATTATGTTGAGAATAAATAAATAAATATGAGAGATAAGTGAATTGGAGTTTTATATTTATGATCAAATTAAAAATCAAACTAATTTTTATACTAAGGACAGGAGGTAGTATATCAGTTCATAAGTAAGAAAAATTACTTTGAGAAAATATGATAAATACATGAAAGGCAATATAGCTTAAAGTCATACATTTAAAATCAAATCTAATTTCTCAACTAGCTTTTATATTAAAAACAAAAAGTAGTAATATTTTTAATTTTATTTTACATTATTATTCCGACTATATGTATGTTAATCATATGACTGATATATTCATAACTTTCCCTAAAGTTGTATTTATTTTTAATATTATTATTACAAAAATAAAACATATTTTTTGTTTGTCTTATAATTATTTTTTATTTAAAGACCCAAATCATATTTTTCAATAATCAAATTATTTTTAAATTCATCTTAAGCTTTCACATGTTAAAAAAGAAACAACGCATTCCAATTCTTTTTGAAAAAATCACAAATAAAGACCCCCCGAATTACTGAAATTATAAGAAGGTTGCTTAAATAAACCAAATTACCATAAGAAACTCGGTCTTATATTGTAAATATGAAATCTTGATAAAATATCTGAAATGCCCTTCAGCTAAGTTGTGATTTGGTCTACTGAAATTGTCATTTGCTAAAATGAACTTGTTATTTCTCATAGTCAACTTATCATTTGACATACCTTTAACCAAGTTGTGATTTGGTCTATTGAAATTGTTATTCGCTAAAGTGAACTTTTCATTTGGCTAGGAGGCATTTCAGACATTTCACTAAGATTTCATATTTATAATATGAGACTGGATCTTTCATGGTAATTTAGTTTATTCAAGTGACCCTCTTATAATTTTAGTAATTTAGGGGTCTTTATTTGTTATTTTCTCATTCTTTTCACCACACTTTTTCTCTAAGGCATTTCACCACATTTTAAGTTTTTTTTTTTTTTTTTGGGGTGAAGGACCACATTTAAGCTTTACATATGTAGAAGGATTCAAATTTCAATTAAGCAAGACAAAAGTTCTTGTCCCAATAATAGAATCCAAAGTTTTGGAAGGTAAGGACAAAATCCAAATCATGGCGTGTTTAACATTTTCTGAATTTGGCATTATCTTGTCCTCTTTAATTTTTCAGGCCTCTACTGTGAATTTATTGAAATGGTTCATGCTCAACATTTACTTTATGACTTGGAGAAACAATGATCTGCATTTGTTTGCTGCTAGAAATCTATTTAATGCAGTTTCCTATCATAGTAGAGATCTCCATAATTACAGAACTGACTGGTGTGTGAATGCCTTTTGTTCTATGGTACTCAAAAGCGTTTCAGATCCTACGTTGCATTCTAGGTGTTCGATAAAATGCTCCAAAAGAAAAAGGTAAATTCTATCCACTGCAACTTTCCTGAACCAAACCACGGAACAGTATGAATGATTTTGCTTAAAGAGAACTCATGCAGAAAAATGTCTTAAAAAGTCATTAAATGAAGAGAAAATAAGTCAACAGATTAGCACATTTAAAACGCAGATTTTGATGAATATTCAAAAGCCTCGGCGTATACCGAGTTGATACAGTCATTCATATATATTCATGCATCTAGTGCAACTAAAACTTTATCCTTAAACAGACCCCAATGGTCAAGAAATGGCTAAGATACAGATCAAGAAAGCCTCGCTAACACGTTTAACTAGTAATAATTTATAGATAAGATTTATATATAATATAAAAACTCTAACAAATCACAAGTGAATCGTACAAGTCATTTTTCAAGAGCCCGGCAATGCACGGGACCATACTAATTAATATAGCTCAAGCTAAATAATGAGGCAATAACATCATCAGATGTTCTTCTAATTAACTTTTTAAAGCTTTAACTAACTAAGCAGTTGCGGTAGTTGATGTTGGTGGTGGGGGTGGTGGGGGATTAATAATTTTTTTGGCTAGATTGTGTTTGTTGTTGTGCATCCAGACCTTGAGCACTCTTCTTCTGACTCCAATCTCTTGACAGAACTGTTGCACAACGGACTCTTCCTGCTTCTGAATCTTCCACCCAACTTTCTCTGCAAAATCCAGCATCCTCTCTTTCTGCTCCTGTGTGAACTTTGTCCTGAACCTCTTCTTCACTATCTGTGATGATGCTGGCCTACTCACCATTATTCCACCACCACCATCCTCTTGCTCGTCTGATTCCGAAGGAAGCGGCCCAGGCGCTACATTGTAGGGCAGTATCATCTGGTGTGGTGGTACAGTTCTTGAAGGCAGAATGTTGCCTGTGGGGTACCCCACAAGGGCCTCTGGGGCAGCTGCTAGGACACTATTGTGATGATCTCCCAAGAAGAATTTCCTTCCAAATTTGTAGTAAGAAGACTCACCTTCTACTTCTTTTCTGTGGAAATTTCTGTGACAGTGGCAAGCTGAGCAGGTTAAGGCCTCTATGGTGCCTTCTTCTCCACTAGGCATGAACTCACCACAGCCATCAAGGGCATTACCTCCCATGGAAGCTGCATGATTCTTAAGGCACTCTCTGTACCTTACCTCCTTCTTCTTCATGTAGGGTCCATGGTCTTGTTGATCTAGAAGGGCTGGTTGTTTAATGGAGGAGCCATTGGAAGGGTCTTGGCGGTGGTAGAGATGATGATGGGCCATGTTCCCATGCCCCTCCTGCCCATGGCCATTACCACGTTCCCCACCATATGTAGTACTGCTTATTGGGATTGGCATTTCTGGTTCTTGACTAGAAAGTTCCATTCCTAGCTTTTATCTCTCCCTCCCTCTCTCTCTCTCTCTGGGTTATTTTTCTTTGGGTCTTGTCAATTTTCTAACCCGGGTACCAAGAAAAGAAATTACAGGACACAAGATGAGAAATATAGAAGAGGGAATTCCGAATTCTAGGACTTGTCTTCTAAATTTGCCGTCTCCTTTAGAACGACAACACTGAAAATGAAAACAGTAGTTTTGGTTAGTTACTGAGATACGCTAAGGAAAAGAAAGAAGTTAATCACATAATATAGAGAGTGGATTAACGATGACGACGATGAGCACAACAAATCCCAGGGCTATGATTTCCTGCTTGCTGTGATGATGACATATCTCATAAGCTAGCTGGATTAGAGTGAATTATAGAAAGAGAAAGTAAGAAGAAACAAAACCCAGAAATAGGGAAATTAAACCAGGAGTTAGGCATGAGAAGAAAACGCTGTTTAAGACACTTTTATTCACTCTCTGGGCATTTTCTCTTGTCTGCATTTCTTCTTGTAAATTTCAACTATAGACACAGCAGAATGGCATATATATAAATATGATGAACAGGTTTTGAAAACAACATACCCACTATATATGAAGTTTTGTTGGAGGAGAGAGACTGATCTTTCTAAGCTTAGAGCAGCTTCAGATGCAGAAAATTAACATGGTTACAAAAGTGCTGTGACTTGCAAGAGAAAGAGAGAAGAATATTAGGGTAACAATGAATTGAGAGAGAGAGAGGGAGAGAGAGAGGAGAGGAGAGAAGAAGACAGAGAGATTTAGAGGTGGGTTTTGCAAGAGAAGCACCAAAACATGAGCTTATAGAGGTGGTGGGTTCCAAAAATAGAGGGATAAATGAACAAGGAGAAACTCACCGTGAGTCTAAGCCCTGTGGGGAAGGTATGTATTTATTAACATTATATTTTTCATAAAAAGTTAATTTTATTTATGATATCAGTATAATTTAAATGTGTTCGTATAATCGTATGGTTTGACGTAATATATATGCATTTTTCAGATGATATTGAAACGAAACTATATATATATATATATCCTATAAAATGATGAAAATGTTATTTTGATAAGATTTAGAAAAAAAAATTTATAGTTGAAATATAAAAGAATAATTTCTAGAATTTTTTATGAACTTATTTAGACTACCATGGTTTTTTTATTTTTAAGTAAATTATTTTTTCTATTTTGATTTTGACATTAGATTAAATTTTGGTTTGCTCTCAAATCTGGACTTTGAATAGAGAGAGAACTACTCGGATGGCTTCAGGTTAAAAAAAAAAAAAAAACATAAATACATTTCTAAATTTTATTTATTACCAGTAGATACAAAAACAAATTAATATTTATTTGCAACTCAAACCTTTATATTTACAAATTAGGTAGCATCATTTACGAGGCATATCTAATAACGTACTGATTACAGATCAAATTTTTAAATTTACAAATTCAGCTGTGTCATTTATAAATCCAAGTTATAAATATTAAATCTTTTAAACTTATTAGTAGTAAATAAAATTCGGATAACCTTAATTTTTTTTCTTCCTCAGACATATGTAAATTACTCCACAAAATAAGCTAATAAAGTTGCAAGTGAATTATATACGTAAGGGTAAAAATTTTGTATATGAAGCCAGATCCGGATCATCTAAGCCATATCTATATTCACTACGGGAACATCACGTAAAAATTTAAAAAATGGTGAATCTCATACATAATTAATTATATGATATAGTAATTAGGGAAAATGACAATAAAATACCACTTGAATTCTAAAAAGACAGATAAGGGACATGAATAAGCAAAATAACAAATAAGGCACTGGGTACCAATTTGGAATTCATATTTTCGGCCAAAAGACCAGAATGCCCTGATGAAATGCGGGAAGACTGAAAGCTGAAAGTGAGAGAAAGGAGAGAGGAAGACCGACGGTGATGAAATGCGGAAAGAAGGAAAGAAGAATGTTGGAAATGCTATTATCTTACTCCTTCGCATCACCATTCTGTAGAGATTGTTGATTTGGTGGGTTTTGGTTGTGGGAAAAAGGATTTGTAGTGAGAGAGGGAGTGAACCAAAGCGGAAAGATGAAGCGGAAATCAGAAAACTGGTAAGCAATTACGTTACGTAACTGCTGTCATATGCCTACTGGTTTTTGGTAAATCTCATTACGTGAATGGTAAATTTCACTATACATGTAGTTAATTATGAATTTTACAAAATACATATTGTGATTTACAACTTTTGTAGTGAAAGTGACTACTTTGTTAATGGGTTTTGCAACTTGTTTTCAGGAGATAAACAACTTGTTTGTAAAAACTAATAAAATTTCACGCTAAATTTGATAAAACGTATAGTGGGATTTACAACTTCCGCAGTAAAAATGACCACTTATTCAATGGGTTTTGTAACTTGTTTTCAGGGGATGGGCAGCTTGTTTTTAAAAACCAATAAAATTCCATGCTGAATTTTACAAAACATAGAGTGATATTTACAACTTTTGTAGTGAAAATTACCACTTCTTAAATGAGTTTTGCAACCTCTTTTCAAGGGATTGGCAACTTGTTTCTAAAAACCAATAAAATTTCATGCTGAATTTTACAAAACACACAGTGATATTTACAACTTTTGTAGTGAAAATTACCACTTCTTAAATGAGTTTTGCAACATCTTTTCAGGGGATGAGCAACTTGTTTCTAAAAATCAATAAAATTTGACGTTGAATTTTACAAAACACACAGTGATATTTACAACTTTTATAGTGAAAATGACCACTTCTTAAATGAGTTTTGCAACCTCTTTTCAAAGGATTGACAACTTGTTTCTAAAAACCAATAAAATTCCATGCTGAATTTTACAAAACATAGAGTGATATTTACAACTTTTGTAGTGAAAATTACCACTTCTTAAATGAGTTTTGCAACCTCTTTTTAGGGGATGAGCAACTTGTTTCTAAAAATCAATAAAATTTGATGCTGAATTTTACAAAACACACAGTGATATTTACAACTTTTATAGTGAAAATGACCACTTCTTAAATGGCTTTTGCAACCAGTTAATTCAACGTGACTACAAAAGTTGTCACTTTTATTAGTTTTTACAAACAAGTTGTTTATCTCCTGAAAACAGGTTGCAAAACCCATTAACAAAGTAGTTACTTTCACTACAAAAGTTGTAAATCACAATATGTATTTTGTAAAATTCATAATTAACTACATGTATAGTAAAATTTACCATTCACATAGTGGGATTTACCATTCACGTAGTGGGATTTACCAAAAACCAGCAGACATATGACAGCAGTTACGTAACGTAATTGCTTGTCATTGTTTTCTGATTTCCACTTCATCTTCCCCGCAGGTTCACTCCCTCTCTCACTACAAATCCTCTTTCCCACAACCAAAACCCACCAAATCAACAATCTCTATAGAATAGTGATGCGAATGAGTAAGATAATAGCATTTCCAACATTCTTCTTTCTTTCTTCCCTCATTTCATCACTGTCGGTCTTCCTCTCTCCTTTCTCTCACTGCGTCGCTTTCTTCTTCTCTCCTTTCTCTCACTGCGTCGCTTTCTTCTTCTCTCCTTTCTCTCACTTTCAGACAGGGCATTTTGGTCTTTTGGCCAAAAATCTGAATTCCAGATTGGTACCCAGTCCCCTATATGTCATTTTGCTTATTCAGGTCCCTTATTTGTCTTTTTGGAATTCAGGTGGTATTTTATTGTCATTTTCCCTAGTAATTATATATGATCACTTCTCTCTTATTGTACTACCTCCTGTCCTTAACGTGTAATATAGAAGATAGGTAAAGGTAAGATTTAATTTTAAATATAATATTTTAATTTATTTTATCTCATAAATTTATATTTTTTTCTTTAGGGTATCTTTATTGATTGTATATATTACAACGATTTTTACCGTGAGATAATTTCAATGCATAAATTAAATATGATAATTTAGAAAAACTAATACTCATTTATAACAAAAAATCAATTTAACTGATTTTTTTATATTTGTAAATTAGTTAACAATAATAGTTAATATATCGTTGACATTTACTGTTGAGAGTGTTAAAAGATCAGTAAAACGACTGTGCTTTGATGTGCCAGCCTATATATGCTTTGCTTGCACCATCAGCCATATATTTACGCGAAGGACCATCCTGTTTCTGTCACACACACACACACACACACACACACACACACACACACACACACAGAGAGAGAGAGAGAGAGAGGGGGGGTCCGAATTCCTTGGCTGAGACAGAGACACAGAGATAGAAGAAGAGGCCAAAGCTTGGAGCAGAAGCATTTGTTAATACTGAATGTGAATGGACTGAATAATGTATTGTTGTGAACTAAAATAATATTCTCTAAATAATTAAAACTGCATTATTTATTCAGCAGATCCAAAATAATATAATCCCTTTTTTCTTGTTACATGCATAACAACACTTTTTGTTGTTTCCGTGATGCTTTCTATATTCGTGTTTTGTGTCTGTGTGTGTGCGTGTGTGCGCGCTTGTGTGCTTCTATTCTTCTCGTTTAAGGTAACAGCCAACCGACACACGCACAACCACAGATGACGTTACTTAGAGGCAACAAACTGAGAAAAGGAAAACTGATTTAATACAAGTTATATATTAACTCCTGTAATTAATATAAAAGTTAACTGATTAATTTGAATAGATTATAAAAATTAGTTAAATTAGTTATTTGTAATAAATATGTGTTGTTTTTTCTAAAATATTATTGCTAATTAACTATACTAGCTAGAACTATTATTATTATAAAGACTATCTTAGAAAAATAAAAACACTTATATTTAAAACTAAAATAAAAATCAAACTAGCTCTTATATTAAAAATCAGATAGCGTATTGTTATACATCAGAAGCCTTAATTACCATAAAAAAGAAAAATAAGAGGAGAATAATATATGTGTGTGTGTATACATGTAGCGCCATAAACTTTATACTTACAATGCAACTAACAACTAACTTCTCATCATTATTATATTTTTCCCAAAAAAGGAAAAAAAAAACGTCTTCATAATTACGTTTTCCCTTCTCAGCCATCCGGATCAACACTTTAGTCTCTTTCTATTTGTGTGTGTGTGTGTATATAATGAATTAATGATCTCATCAATTATTGATTCCAGCTTAGGGTTTAAGGATGTTTCATTTTTCATTAAATAATGATTATTAGACTTTTGATAATGAATCTTTGGGGATTCCTTGAGTACCCAAAAAACAAAATACTCCTCTAATCTTATTTATAAATAACTTCCAACATGTTTCACGGATAAAAAAAAACCTTAAACTTCATTTACTCTCATTGAAAATTTAACAACTTTCCAACTTTATCCCTATTTAACATACATTATATCTCATATAAACAAAGTCAGCACAATAATAAATGAGGGGTAAAATTGTATATCTATACAAAAATTTTCTCTTAATGTCCTATAAATAGGACAAAAAAAACTATTTTCTCTCTGTCCTATACTTAAATAGGACGAGAGGAGTATTATGAATCTAAAAGTATGGCACAGATAAAAGTATTTATTAGTTAACTGCTACCTCGTGTTCTAATTATAAGATTTCGTTTGTATTATAAGACCTAGTTTGTATATTACAATATATAAACAATGTCTTATAATTAGAATCGGAGATAGTATTTAAACTTAAATAATTTCTTTAAAGGTTATGATGCTATAATTTTAAATTTTTGATACTATACATAATTAATATGTAATAAAACTCTGAAAATAAATGTCGTTAGCATATTGTATATTGTTTTCATATTGTTCCGCAGTG